AAAGATCTTTATCTTTGGACACTTCTTTTTCATTCATTTCTTTAACTTTTTCCCAGCTTGCTTTTACTGCTTTCTTACACAGACTATAGCTGTGGCCGGTTAGTTCATCTGCTCTTTTGACAGTAATCTTGATGCGAGTATGCCCCTACTTTTCTGTAGCACATGCCCAAGGACACCTCATCCCCAGATCAGTTGTTTAGGTTGCCTTTACAGGTCTCACACCCAATTGTTCAGTAACCATAAATAAAATATCAACTTTCCGGACAAGCACCACCACAAATTCGAGGTTAACTCATAACTACCCCATAAGTGGTGAGCTGGGATTTAAACCCAGGCAGTGTAGTGTTAGTGTCTGTGTTCTTAACTACTGCCCAAGAGAGACACTTGTAAGAGAGAAAATTAGAGGCCTGTTTCACTTATGCACATAGAATCTAAACTGCTGAATAAAATATTAGTAAATCAAATGCATGAATGAATATGTCTGTAGATATATACATAGACTTACAGTTGTCTTCATTTCCTGTTGGGTTCATCCCAGCAATGAAAAGATAGTTAGCATTAGAAAATTGAGTACATAAAAGAAGACCTAGATTAATGGAAAAACATATCAAATTTGTGGATTAGGACACTCAGTGTAGTAAATATATCAGTTCCTAAGAATAGCCAAGAGAGTTTTAAAAAAACATCAAGTTGGGAAATTTTATTTTACCAGCTGTTAAGAATTCTTATAAATATCCAATTAGTAAATCAATATTATATTGGAAGATTGATAAATATAGAGACCAGTGGAATAAATTAGCACAGAAAATTACACATCATGAGCAGTTGTTATCTGAAAAAACAGGCTCTACAGATCAGTGGGAAGAGGACAGACTGTTCAGCATATGGTACTGGAATAAGTGGTTATCCAAATGGGAAAGAAAATAATATAAATACCTTTTGTACATCACAGAAAAATCATCTCGAGGTCGATTCAATTAAAGCTTTCAGAAAAAATATTAAGAGAGTGTCTTTATGAACTCAGGATAGGAGATTTCTTCAACGGACAAACATTTTTGACTGGAAGAAAGATATATGGGTAGACTGCATTATAAATAAAAACTTGGATGTCACAAAAAATATCATCAGTAAATGACTAGCCCAACTGCAAAAGGGAAGAAGATACATATTTACAATAAATATAACAGAGTTGATTAGCATCCAGAATTTAGAAAGATCTTTCACAAACAAAAATATATTCACGCTAATAGAAAAATGGTTAAAGAATATGACTAGGCTATTTACAAACAAAACAAAACCCGAAAAACTGATAAAAATATGAAAAGATGTCAATCTCATCAGTAATCCAGAAAATGCAAATTAAACAACAGTGAAATAAGTACTTGTTGAATGAATAAAGGAAATCGTAGATGCAATTTATGGTAATATTAAAATCAATCTATGAAGACCGAATGTGTCCCTCTCATTATTAATCCACGGTTGACTTCTTAACCTATTTTAATCACTGAGAAATCTGATTTTTTTTTTGAAAACCCTATCAGGGAAAAAAGAAGTAGTTTGTATTGGAATTATTACATCCGTGGCCAAAACTCCAACCTCCTTTTAAGACTGACAGGGAAGAAGAGTAATACGCAAAAACCAGGTCCTGCAGTGGTGGTAAAATTTTAGTGCTATCTTAAAAGTCCTGAGGATAACAATAAAAAAAAAAAAAAAATGTGGATAATTTCTTTTACACTCAATAAAAAGTTTAAAATCATTTGCATTGTTAATACTCCACTAAATTATACTTTTAAGAAATAAACTGTTATCTGAATTCCCAACATATAATGTATACACCATGAGTGTGCACATTATATGCACATTTTTTGTTTATATGTGTGTCTGTAGTTAGTATGTATTGCACGTTTATGCATATTTGCTGGTGCGTAACATATACGGAAAAGTAATGAAAACAAATATAAAGGTCACGGTTGCTAGGACCCCAGAAGTCCCCTTGAATCATAATCTTTCTCCCTTCCTCAAAGATAATTGAAGATAACCAATATCTAATTTTCCACTTATAGTTTAGTTTTGCCTGTGTTTGAACTTTGTATAAATGGAATTATAAACTCTGTATCCTTGTGTATTTGGCTTCTTTCATTCAACATTGTGGTTTTGAGATTTATCCTTTTTCTTGCATGTAGATGTAGTTTGTTCATTTAATTTCTGTAGAGTGTTCCAGTTTTTAAATTTATGCATTCTTCTAGTTTTTAAATTTATCTTATTTATGCATTCTTCTTTTGATGGATATTTGTAGTTTCCAGTTTAGAACCAAAGGTGATAATGCTATCACCTTTTTTTTTTCCATTGGTCATGGTGCTTGGTGTTCAAGTGCGCATATTTTTGTTTATTATATTCCTAGGAATTATATGTGTGTTTAATTTTAAAGTCGTGCTAATTTACACTCCTATCAGCAGTGTATGGGAGTTTTCTTTATTCTACATTTCCACCAACATTTGTTTTCTAATTTTAACTCTTTATTTATTGTAATTTTAATTTGTATTTTCCTAATGCCTAATGAGGTTGAGCAGCTTATGTTTATTGGCCACTTCGGTAACCTTTTTGTGACATACCCATTCCAGGCATATCACTTTTTATATGATTATCTGCCTTTTAGTTGATAGAAGTTTTTTTTTTTGTATATTCTCAATATAAGCCTTTTGTCAGTTTTATGTGTTGGAAATATCTTCTCCATGTTTATGGCTTGCATTTTTACTCTCTTAACAGTCTTATTTTTGATGAACAGAAGTACTTAATTTTAATGTGGTCCAGTTCATCAGTGTTTTAT